TACAGCATCGTATTTGATTGACAGCTTTGTTGGGTAGAGGATTCTTGGGTGGCAGTTTTTTTTTTTTTTCTTTCAAGGTTTTATATATGTCTCCCCATTGCCTTCTTGCCTGCATGGTTTCTGTTGACAGATCCAAGCTTGATATGATTTGCTTGCCTTTGTATGTTATATTTCTCTTTTTCCCTAGCTGCTTTCTGGATTCTCTCCTTATCTTTGATTTTGAAGAGCTTGATTATTGTATGCCTTGGAGATTTTCTTTTAGGGTCTATCCTTCCCTAGGGTTCGTTGAGTTTCTTGAATGCTTATCTTCTCACTTTTCAGGATGCTAGGAAAATTTTCTTCCAGCAGGTCTTCAATTATCTCCTCTGTGGACTGGTGTGATTCTTCCTGTTCCGGAAAGCCGATAATTCTTAAGTTATTCCTCTTCATGTTGTCCAACATGAATCTTAGGCCTTCTTCAGATTTTTTAACCTTTTTTTTGTGCTTGCTCTTCCATCTTAGTAGTGTTGAGAGATTATCTTTCAGCTCACTTGTTCTGGCTTCTAACTCTTCAGTTCTACTCCTTTGCTTTTTCAGAATATTGTCCATTTCTGATATTCTATTATGAATTGTTTGGACCTCTTTCTGTAGGTTTTGAATGGTTTCCAATGTTGTATCTTATTTGATTGTTCCTGTAGTGCTTTCCTGACTTCTTCTTTATTTTTCTCAACTCCGTTGCATAGTGTTTTGATACATTTTATAATCATTTTTCTCAATTCCTTCTCAGGCATTTCCAAAGCCTGTCCATCTTCCAGTATGGAGTATAGGTCTACCTCCAGCTCATTTGCTTCAGTGAAATAGACCTTTTGCGGAGCCTTTGCAGTGTATAGGACCTAGGTGGAATCCTGAGCCCCATCCAGAACCTTCTAAGGTGGGGCAGTGCCACTAGAAAGGACAAGCAGACCAGCCTGGAACAGCTAGAACAAGAGAAGACAGATCTTCAAAGAAAGATCATCAGGAAAAACTCAAAACAGAAATGGCAGTATGACTGGCTACTACAAGAATAAACAATCAAGGCAAGCAATTAATTTCATTCAGGATAAACTTCCCTCTAAGAATGAAACTAAAATGGAACATATAAGCAGGCATGTAAGCTTGCTGACGATCACATTGGTATTCTGACGAGTGGAAGAAGGGTAAAGGCAGTAATGAAGAAATGGACTGAATTTAACCACATTCCATAGACTCCTGTTGACCTGGAGATGAGAGAGAGAAGAGGAAGGGCTGGTTGGTTCAAAGTGTGGTAGGACCTAGGGACAACTGAGCCCATGGACAAGGATATAGCCACAGAGGGCTAGAGCTGAGAGTGAAGCATCCACTGATATGAAGGGAGGGGAAATGCACAAGAACACCCAAACTTTTAGATTATACCCATTTGATCTAGCCTCAATAGCTTGCTAATCAGAAGTCAACTAGAGGAAGATAAAAAACAAAACAAAACAAAAAAACCCCAACAATTTTTGATAAAGGAAACGAGGGTAAATTGCTACAATTTGATGAACTTGACCTATACTCATGGAGGCAATAACTCCAAATACCAACAGAGAGGGAAGGAGCCTTCACATCAAGTATCAATTCTATCCCTCTGTACACAGGGTAAATAGGGACGGGAAGCTTAGTCATTGTTGTTGTTGTTG